TCAAACAGTTTGCAGATACAGCTAGTACGGCTGTTAGTTTGAAGGGTTCCATGTATCCTTCCCTGGTTTAGCAATAATAATAGCCTTGCTCCATGCATTTGGGAAAATGTTCTCTTTCCAAACTCTGTTAAAGAAAAGCAAGAGGATACCCAATAACTTGAAAGACAAGTAATTGTGTCAGGGCCTGGACTAGATCTATGTGTCCACAACAAAGCTTTTTTTAACTCAAGTATGGTAAAATCGCTGTTATAAGGTTCTGAGCTAGAATAGTTAAAAAGAATGGGATTTCACAGAGACAGCTTGACAGAACAAAATATAGATGGATGAGTGCTGCTACTAGAAATATCGGCAAAACTCTCCCCTATCAAATTCGCAATTTCGTCAGTGGTGCTGATCCTTCAACCATCTTTCTCCAGAGTGGAGAGAGAGTAATTTCTATGCATCCCAGTTGCCTTCCTTACTCTTTCCCACACTCGTCTGCTTGGTGTAGATGCTGTTATAGATAGAAGACACATAAGATATCCAAGAGCACATCTGCCATCACACTTTCTGTGGAATTGTTTTGGCACTTTTATAGACCAGAAGACTTACAGAAGTAGGGCATTGATGAAATAATTCCCAAGCTTTCCTCTGTTGTCATCGAGTCTCTTGGCACAGTTAGTTCCACCATGGTTTGGTGTATTTTGGAAATCTTGTAGAAGAAATAGGAATAGAGATTTTACCCACCTGTGTTATTTACCCCTGTGATGGTATCTACTGCACTATCAATAGGCACATCATTCACCGTGTCCTCAGTAAGCTCTGCATAGATGGAAAAGAGGTTCCAATTTGCTTTCTCCAGTATAAAATGGGGAATTCTATATATCAGCATTATGTCTTTATACGTAAATGTATCAGAAATGGGAAAATAGTCACTGTTATGCAAATCATTTCCAACATGAATATTTCAAAATGGAAAGAGAACTGGTGAACAGATGATGAGATCAATGCTGTGAAATGTCCTTGTGGGTTGAAGAAAGTAAGTTTCTTCTCCATTATTAAGGAGGCAAAGAGAATGATCACTGATGATTTTCTCAACTTGCCTACCTCGTGAGCTTTTATTTTTACATCCCCAAAGAGGACTGTGGCTGTTAAATTCACCACGGAGTATAAAAGGTTCAAGCAACTGTTCTATTAAACAATTCAGATCCTGCTGCTCTATGTGTTCAATGGGAGGCAGGTATATCGAACATAGTGAAATCAGCTTCCGAATATGAACCTGTATTGCAACAGCTTGGAGGGAAGTCGAAAGAGGAAGCATGCTTGAAGAATAGTCAAGCGATATGAAAAGGCCCACACCGCCACTGACACAGTCATTACAAATCCTATCTTTCCTAATAAAAGAATACCTCTGCAGCTCAATATCTTGCTTAGGTTTCAGGAGCGTTTCTTGCACTACAAAGCAGACTGGATGATGATTTTCGATTAGATCTTTAAGACTGACAAGATTTTTTTTCAATCCTTGACAGTTCCACGACAACAGAGTAACCATTATGAACTTTTACTATGCTGCTTTTTTGTTTTGTTAGGCAGAAGGTGTTTGAATATTCATTTATGCTTCTATTTCCACATCAGAATTCAAATCCTCAGAGCACATACTGTCTAACCAGCCTGTGCTTCTCGGATGACAGTGATGGTTTTTCAAAATTTACTTGTTCTTTTTTCTGATTTGTTTGCTCTTGGCTAGTACCAGATATTGTAATTACTATTGGAATGACTGTGGATGGCTTTTTTCTAGAATGAGAGCAACGGTTTGGGTGGCCACTGACTGGACAGATTTTACTGCATTAGCAAAAGTGACATTTCTATGGGGCTGGGTATCAAAAATCAGTCTTCCAGCTTCAGTGTATGAGATTTATTTGTAACTTGCCCGTCTTTCTCTACTTTCCTCTTGGTACAGGATTGTGAGAAAGCTGTATCTTTCCCTTTGCAAATAATATACAGTGGCACAGAAGTGCATGTATCACTATTGTGGCATCTGACAGAGCAGCGCACACATGTTAGTTTTCTGTGGCATGACATCTTTGAGTGGCCAAAACGCTGGGACTGGAAGAAATATTGCATGGGGTTGGAAATGTAGGGTCTTACTTGGCAGTGAAAATAACCAGACTTAACACTTTTCAGCAGATCTGGCAAACTGAAAATAAGGATTAAGTGTTTCGTATCAATTAACTTACCTTTTTTACGCATCTTGATCCGACAGCTCAATTACAATTTTTTTCCTCTGAAACTGAAAGAAGATCGATCTCTGAGATCATTCATTGGCACAAACAAGTTTAGAGTTTCGTGTGTTGAAACAGTTACTTCAAGATGCCCAAGTTTTTCAATTTTGAGAAGTGTTATAGACCAGGGATTTTTACTGGTTTTGATTAACAAGTCACCTGGACGGAGACGTTTAATATTTTTTGGCTCGCCGATGTTCAATTGTATATGCTTTTGTATGGAAAAAAAAAAAAAGTGAGAGTTTTTGTAATTTGCCTGGTGCATTGTTTACTACTATAAAACGAGGATTATTACATTTTCTGAGGAACTACATAGATTTATTGTAGCCATATTAGATGAAAATTTGATTCGGACTCGGCAACAACCCCCCCCCCCAACAACGGGACACAGAATCCTGCACCAGGGTTAACCGGGTCTATACGCAAACTGAAGCCTCACAATCAGCTTTCCCGAAAGCAGGTACTCCCAAGAGCTTATTCCCAAGCCACTGACCACAAGGACTAATGACCAGCCAATTGACACTAGTGAGGAGGACAAGGTGCACTCTGTTTAGCAGTTTTCTCACCACTTGAAAACTAGAGACAAGGCTGTTCCAGTTTCTCATAACAAGTCCCAACCTCCAAAGAGGAAAATGAGGATAGATCACTGGGACTCCAGGATCATGAAACCTGCTTCACCAAGAAGATGATCCCCTGAAGGGCTAGGGTACCTCGGTATTGCCACATCCATACTCACAAAAAGTGAGCCATGAGGGATTTTAGAATTCCAGACCTTTGTGAAGATTAGGGGCATTTGCAGACACAATTGCATCATTCTTAGGAAAAAACATATAACTGCTAATCCTAATTGTTTGATTCTAATGAATTAATTCTATTATTTAAGGCTACTTTTGGTTTCAATATGTCAACTCTCTTGTTAATTGTGCGGAAAAATTTGAATTTTCATACTAACAAAAAAGCCTGGAAGAGCTAACGGCTTTAATTTTTGCTTCTCGAATAGTCCTGTATCATTTACTTCAGCTTTTCCAGAAGAGTGTGTACTGTCAATTAAAAGTAAGAAAATCAATGACTTTATTTTTCAAATTAATGCCTTACTTTTCATTAAAATAAGAATTTAAAAAAAAAAAAAAAAAGGATTTTCACGAAATTTAGTAGCGCCTCTTGAATTTTCTATGTAGTTCTAAGTGTCATGAAGTTTGGCTACCCCTGTTATATAGCATATATTTGTTTTAATTACTCCTTCGAAATAGTTTCTTCAGAATTTACAAGTTGAAAATAACATTAGTACAATTTCTGGAAGAAAACATTATGGATATTGTTTACTGAAAATGAATAAAATGAAGTCTACAATACAACTGATTTTAATAAAATCTATTCTTGATATACTTTATCACCAAAGTCACACAAAGTTTTGCTCACATTTTTTTCAGAGAATAAAAATTCTTTCATTCTAAAACAAAAGTAATTTGCTTTTCAATCAAATCAACGAGGAACAGCATTCTCATGCCAAATTTAATTTTTAATAATTTCATTATTTATTTAATAGAAATCTAGTTAACAGTATAGCTATGAGAATATCTGCAATTTCAAAATGTACAGCAAATAAACTAAAACAAAAATCCCCTTTTATTAATAAAATGTATTTTAACTAAATACTTTTGAACAAGTATAACTAAAAATTAAATTTTGACTGAGGACAAAAGCAAAATAAAAATATCAAGACAAATGCTGCAATAAAAAAATAAAATAAGTTTAAACTGCTGAAAACGATACTTGAAGACGATTACTTAAACATATCTTAAATTCAATGGCAGAACCTCTACTAATGCATTTTACATTTTGTTAAACTGCGATAACATAGAAGTAGATGCTTCAAAGAAATCAAAAGAGACTATACTTTTAAGGTACTAAATTTAGAGAATTAAAAAAATATATTCTAGACAATCTAAGGTTTGAATAATTTAGGAAACTGAAAATATACCTTAATTGTTATTCTAATGCATAGAATTATTATATATTTCAAATACTGCAACAACAAAAATACATTGACATATTCATAATTAAAAAGAAAAGCAAAATTAAATAGCATTTATTTTGCAAGTCTAACTTATTAAAATTATAAAACTGTTTGTTACTTGATCAGTAAGAATGCCGGTAGTTAGAAGTATTACAATACATACTTAAATAGCTGCCCTAAAATTTGGAAACCAACAACCAAATGGTGAAACAGCAAATTACTCATAACTAATGTTATGCACATTACTGATGAAATAAAGTCTACATGATTGCAAGTCTGTCCAAATCATTATTCAATATACAAATTGATTAATTCATCATTTCTAGAAAAACCAAGAAATACTAAAGACTTAAAGGCAGAGAAGTTGAGGTAATCAAATTTCAACATTTACTATACAAGAAAATTATGATTTTGAATATGTATAAAGGACTTATTATAGTTATTACAAAATAACATACTATTTGTTAAATTTCTCATCATATGCAATTAAATATCCCTTTCAGCAAGATAATTTGTAAACCTGGAAGCAGGATTTCAAGATTTCTTGTATGTATTTATTCATTGTAACTACATATACTACATAACTTACAAAGGAAACACATGAAACAAAATACCAGATGCATACTTTGAATGGCCACTGATAAATTTCATAAACAAAATGTGAATTATTTTAAAGAAGACTCTACAAAAACAATACATATTGATAACTAATTTATATTTACCATTTTGTTCTTGTGTCACATCTACACAAACAAGTTCTTGACTGACAGGTTCTGAAGTTTGAATATTATTTTCAGTGGGTGGTTTTTCTTCGTTTGTTTTATTATTATTGGTTTCTTCAGGTAAATTTTGCTCTAGAAAAATGGGACAGCACAAAATACGTAAATTGCAAATGGCACAACATTACAAAAATACAGTCAAAAGTCTAATCCGGACTCGTCAGGACTTCGGCGATTCCAGATTATCGGTTTTTTCGGATTATAGATCATCAGTTTAAATCTGGTAAGATGGCATGCAGAAATTATAAAATTAAAAATATGAAAAAGTAATTTATGAAATAAAGAGCAATTATGATCTAAAGGGTATAAAATTAAAAAAAAACCTTAATATTTATTTGTTTACTTTATTAAACATTTCTTTCAACGAGTGCATGCGTAAAGCATACATTACGCATAGTCGAAATTAGAAAATTGCAACCAGAAAACTATTTGATGTGTATTCGTGATATTTATAATGACGAGGAATTTGATTTAAATCATATTAATTTCATCGAGATGAAATACTACATTTAGTAAGGAATTATAAGCCAAATAAAATAAAAACATCTGCCCTGAAGATAAGGATAGTGCTGACAGATCAACTTCCAGTTCATTGCGCGCCGCGATGTCCCCCCCCCCAGAGCAGCGTGAAATTGATAAACAGATTTCGGAATGGTTAGATAAAAAAGGATATGCCTTTTTCCATTTTTTGCAGCAATTCCACTTTTTGTCTGATGGACATAGAAACATGTTTTGTTTTGTAGATCCTTTGGCAGCTCCAGAATCGAAAATTCTTTTTGACATAATCGAAAGTTCAAGCTTACTTTTATAAAATTGCTCTAACAGTCTGCAAAAAATAATAAGCCGGATCCAATTAGAAGATTAAGGAACAATGCAATCTGCAACATTAACTGAAATAGATAATTAGATAATTTCAGCTTAGCTTATACCGTCTGTTATACATTAAACCCGAACGCATAAAGGTATTATGCGCATTTGTAACCGCATTATGCGTTTACGCATGCGCAGAAAGTTCGCAGCTTTGAGGTCCGGATTATAGATCATTCCGGATTAAAGACTTTTGACTGTATATTAAAAATATACCTTTCTAATTACAGAAAATTACATTCTTTTAGATTACTTTTATTAGAACTGCTTAAGGTCTACCACATGAGACACGATAACAACACATCATCCTTTTCAAATTAAGATCTGGGCAGTATCTTTAAAAAGTTTACAGAAATACAGACAGACTTTACTGCAATTTTTTAAGCTTCTGTCTTTAAGATCCTTAGCCCCTTGCCATGTCTGATTTAACTGCCATTGCTTCATTCAAGTTGAAAATAGATATGTTATTTTAAAAATATGCAAACCTTTGGCATCTGATTTAGAGTTTTAATGCTTTAAATAACATTAAATGAGGGAAAAAAAAAAACAGTTATTGCTATCCACAGTCTTGTGCAATAAAAGAGAACTAAATTATTATACAAAGGGCTGATTCATCCATCAAAGGAGTGGAGAAACAGAGTTAAGATCCATATGCAATTCTTAGAACAACATTCTTTTTAAAAATTTTGTTTGTTTACTTAAAGTATTTTATATTTAGTGTAATTAGAGAATTAATAATTGGGGAAGGGGGTTCATAGCAGAAGTGAAACAAGTGCAATTTTTTCCCTTTGTGAGGTTTTTCCTGATAAATATTTATAAAAGTAATATATTTTCAGCACTATAATGAATTAACACGTTAGCTGATTTTAATACTGCATCTATTAAGTCCCTGGACTCTGTTTTCCATTCCTTTCAGAGCAGAAGTCCATCTCCCAAATGATAACGTAATACTAGTGCTCTATAACCTGTCTTCCATGAATTCTCATCATTGTTTGGTGATTCAGTTCATTACCAAATAAAACACACATCACATAATCATTATCACCTTTATTTAATTATATTATTTATTTGTTTTTGTAAAGCCTGTTGTGAGCAGTAAGAATTATTCTCAAAGGTAAGAGACATATCTACCTTGTTATCAGGCCAATAATTTCTTATGCTACTCCTGCATGGGTTACAGATATAGAAAACAATATCAAAACGCTCCAGATGCTGCAAAATCATGTCAGAACTATTATGAATGCTCACCATATTGTCAGCACTGATAAGACCTCTAAATCCCAAAGATGAAAGAGACTCTTTGCAGCTTCAATAAGTTTAACAATTAACTGTTTTAGCAGCACATGGACATTGCCACTACAGCAAATGCATCTATATATTTTGAATATAATGTATAAAGGACTTTATGATTCTAGACGGAACCTTCTCACTGACCACTCCAGGATGGTTATTCTACGCTGGGCCGCCAGATGTTGCTGCTAGTGAAAAACAGGTCTGCCCGACATCCTATATTCTCTGAGTATGGAAGTTGTCGAAAGCGCGCGAAAAAGTGTTGCCACATTGTCAATCAGGGTTGTGCAGTTGATGTACTAAGTAGACAATGACTTTGTATATGTTTTCACCGCTGATTTTTTCATATTTAAACGAAGAATACATTCGTAGATCTTCGAATTGATGGCGAATTTATAGAAAATATGTTGATGCTTTTGCTCTGCCAAAAGATGTTTTCATTGCATATTTCAGATTGCCAAAATTTATAGTTATTTTAATTTGCGATGAATTGAGACAGTATTTAGAGCCACATTCAGAAAACAAGAACACAATTTCTACTGAAAGAAAGGTTATTTATACTATTCCTGAAATTATAGATATAAATTGTAATTGTATGCTTTAAAAATGCAGAAGATAATAAGTTTATCAAGCACATAAACCTTCTTTATTTAATACAAATATAGACATCCGATAAGCTTCTACTCAATTTATGTACAGAAAGAATTATGTTTACTTTAAAATAGAACAGTTGAATACCTTACGAACAATACTGTGAACACAAAAAGGAATGTTGTTCATTATTACGTGAAATTCACACTACTGTAAAATAATAATAATAATAATAAAAATTATAAAACTATAAAATAGCTTTATAATATTTTTTTCTTTTTTTTTTTCAGTAACAGTACTACTACTAGTGTGATACTTTTAAAAATAAGTTTTAACTCAGAGGGACTATTAATTTCGTTTTGCCATTTTGTGGCGTTTCACTTTTCAAATCGTTGCCACCAAGTATTATCGCACTGTATTATATTTAAAAAAATTAAATAATGAGGAATCTGCATAAATGTATGAATGTTTCTCACACTGTGATAAAACAACGGTACCTAGAGATATGAAATTCTGAATAACGTAATCCTCCATCCTAATATAGGCATCTGCAGGCCCAAATTTTGAACTGGGAATTTGTTTTATTATCCATTTCCTATTTTGAAAAGCATTTATGAGTTTTTGATTAAGAAACCCAACAATTTCAAAGTGAGCAATGGCAATATTGTACGGGGAAAGGGAAAAAAAAAAAAAAAAAAAAAACATTTTCATCTCTAGTGCGCGAGACTATGTATCGGAAATTCTAAAGAAGATATGCCTTTTTTTAAATTATATGATATTGCTGTTGAATTGAATTTTATGGTTTAAGTGCGAAGAAGATGATATTTAATAAATAAAGGTAATACATAAAACATTAAAAAAATGGCCCTTTGGGAGTAATAATTTAAAATCTGAAGGTTTCAAGAATTTTTTTTTTTTTTTTTAATATATGTGTGGAATTTTATTATGTTTTAAAACTGGTTTCTAAGGGAGGACTTTCTAAGGGAAACTGGCACGTATACACATTACACATGGGGAAAGCCACGGAAACGCTGATGCGGCCAGCTCGTTTGTGAGATTCAAACCTCGGACCAAACTACCTGCGTTCAGCGACTCTATCGCTCGGCCGCTGGTGAGCTTGTTAGCAGAATTATACTGCATTATTATTTGTACTATGCTATAAAGTAACAATGCTATAAGATTGAGGGTTTGTTCATGGAAGAATACGTTTGTAATCTATTAGTATTAAAAAAATTATTGTTTCTTTGCAAACTTAAAAAAAAAAAAAATACTGTTCATAGCAGAGTTCTCATTTTTATATTGTAAAAGAGATATTGATTATTATTAGTTTTCTATTTAAAATGTGTTGAAACGCTGGTTTGACAAGGACTACAACTGCAGGAGGCCTTCACTGATTATTTTTACTTTAGTACTTGCACTGTGAAAATAATATTACTATCTTTTAATTATTTTCACAGAATAAAATCTTTTAAGAAGGAAGAATATTTAAAATAAGCAGTTCTTATATATATAAAAAATTAAAATAACAGCAATGTAATATTAAAAGAAAAAAGTATTAGTAATTGTGTGACAAAAATTGCAAAACGAATTAATCACACATACAGAATAGATTAGTTTAATTTTAGTTATATATTTTATATTTAAAAAGTATTTTCTTTCATGTTAATTATAGAATAAATTATTTAAAATACAGCATTTTGATGCGTGTGTGATAGATGAATGCAGCAGCAATCGGCCATACTGTAATAGCGAATGAATTTTATTTCTTTTCCTGAAAGAAATAATTTTCAAAAAAGAAAATAAAAAAGAGAAGAAATATTAAGAAAGAAATATTTTCATTCTAATTTCTTACTTAAAGAAATATTTTTACAATATTAACTGTAAAATAAATTGCTTGAAAACAGTTTTAATGTAAGCATGGGGGGGGGGAACAACTTAGTTTGCTATTAGATTATAATGCAAATTAATCATATTATAAATTTAAATGATTAAAATTGTTTATTTCTAAAAGTATCTGAAGTATGCTTAATTCATTTACTCTTATCTATTTACCATTGCTTTCATGGTATCCCATATCACTCTTTATTTCTTAGCTCTAAATTCCTGCGTTAACTTTCCCCTTAAAAAGCGGGATTTTCCTTTACATAAACATAACAGCATATTCTGCTGCATGTTGGTTATAATACTGTTTGTGCAATTTTTTTCGAACTACAATTGTAGCGTGTGAGTTAGTGAAATAATGGGAGAATATTCGTAGAACTTCAGCCAGCGTGCGCTATAAATTTCGTCACTTGTCTGTACTGCGATTGGTCTAAAGCTCCTTGAAG